TTTTGGTTAAGTGACTTGTTCTTACTGGGGCCCAGTTTCCTCATCTGTAAAATGGGCTAATGATGAGTAGTATCATTATCCTTAGAGTGAAATGAAATCATGTGTGGAAAGCACTGAGCAAAGTGCCTGGTACCTGGTAGGTGCTCAACTGATTATCAGAACTGAGGTCTTCTGACCCAGACCTCCCAATAGGCACCTCCCCATCCCCATTACATCATCCTGCTTTCTCAGAGGCCGCCTGTCATTTACTGAGAGGAAACCAACAACTATAAACACCTGGTATATGCAAAGCACACTGGGTGCTGGTATGGGTGGTTTTTCTTTCCCCTTGGGGAGGCCCAAGAATTGCAATACACAGAAGTCGTCCAGCCGTTCAGTGCAAAGGCAGTCAGTCCCTGAGCCACTACACGTCTTCCAAAGGCACAACTGAGGACCCACATGTCCTCCTTTTGTTGTATCAAGAGACTTGTCAGTGCTCCTGAGGGCTGACCACGCAGACGGTTGAAAATTAAAGCAAGTAACACTGCTCCAGCTTTGACACTGCAGAGGTCACGGAAGAAAGACTTCAGTGGCAGCTCGTCCCATCCGTTCTATTGTGGGGACCCAGATCAAGCACGTCCACGCTCGAGCGGATAGGAAGAACCAACAGCGCTCCTGTGGGAAACGGTTCATGCCACACACAAGTCAAAGCTGCCGGAAAGGAGACTTCTATGTTCTTCCTCCCATGCTGTGAAACGCATGTTTCCAGCTTATCTCCTCCCTCAAGGAGAGAAAGGACAGCAGTTCTCTGTGTCTCAAGGCTAGGCTGCTTCCCTCCGTAGCTATCCAAGACGGGGCAGAAAGACTGGTGACTGACTCCAAGTCCCAGCCAAACACACCAACTGCTGTTGAAGGGCAGGCAAGTGACCGCAAGGCCAACTGTGGACTTGGCATGGGACCAAGAATTTAAAGACTACAAGGTGATGAAAATGAAAAGGTGAACAACACAGTGTATACAATTAACCGCAGAACCCACCTCTCTGGTACTCTGGCCACTTAGAATCAGTAGTGTCCAAAAAGGCTACAGCCTCACTGCGCTAGTCCTAGGTGTCTTTGGCCTTGAGCTTCAGCAGCAAGGGCAGAGTTCTAACAAATCCCAGGTCATGGTCTCAAGAAAGATGTACCACAGCAGACAACTCTGAACCCACGCGGGGACCCCTACTTCCAGAAATCCCTACGTACAGGCACTCCTGGGCCTTAGGATCCTGAGGCTGATTCCTCACCAAAACCATTTGTGTTCTCAACTCCAGTGGAGTATGAGGGAGCAAACTCAGCTGATCTGGAGCGTCAACCCGTGGACCACCAGGGGCTGAGACCCAGGAAGAAGACTGTAGGCCTCAACACAGCTTTTCCAAACGAGCGTTATTTATTTGAAAAAAAGTCACAAGTGTATAAAAATACTATTGTCCTGAACTCATTTTTAAAAAGGGGCAACAGGGAAAATCAAAATACACTTTGGAACTGATTAGAGCTTCAAGACCATGAGTGTATTTTGTAAGCATTAGGCTATGTGGTTTGCTTATCCTAGATGGTGTAAAAAAAATTTCCGAATGGAGGCACAGGACCAGGTGCTATTGCTTCAGGAAGGGGGAGTTATGAGTAGAAAGGCAGAATGGTGGGAAAGGCACCACATCTTTCCCCCAAAATTAAAGGGGGAGAGGGGGAAGCAAAATGTTGCCCTCTTCTACCCGAGACTCTCAAAGTACTTGTCTGTCTTCCATGTTTTATGATTAGATTTGCCCAGTTGGTCAGCAAAACCGCCAGGACCAGGACAGGGAATTCCCACAGCTTCTAGTTCTGAGAACGTCTAAGAGGTTCTCACTTATGAAATGGCAAAGTCATGGTGTTCTGGTTTTGTGAAACACAGTAGAGAGAGATGCTCTTTAAGAGAGGAGATAAACTCAAATCAGTTACACGCGGCTTTAACATTTTGAGACTTGATCTTTAAAATGTTTTCTTTTTTTAGCTCTCCCTTCGATGTTTTATATGGAATTTGGTTGGAGACCACCTTGGGAAAATTGTAGGGGATTTTTTTTTTGTCCAGTCTTTCAATGCAAAGGCAGTAAGAATCCCTGCCTTTATATTTGTTTGTTTTTAAATATATTTTTTATTGATTTCAGAGAGGAAGAAAGACAAAAACATCAATGATGAGAATCATTGATCGGCTGCCTCCTGCATGCCCTAAACTGGGGATTGAGCCCACAATCCAGGCAAATGCCCTGACCGGGAACTGAACTGTGACCTCCTGGTTCACAGATCAATGCTCAACCACTAAGCCACACCAACCAGGCAAATTGTAGGTTTTATAATACATTGGGAAAACCAAATCCTTATCTCAGTGAGTAATAACCCATGTTTTGGCAACACTTTCTCAGCCCACCCCTCTCCTAGATGCCATGCCAGGCTCCACCCATTACCTCTGCACCGCTCACCAGGGAGCTCTCCGGCACATAGATTTTTAAAACTCCATTTCGATTCTGAACAGCCAGGCTGGGGAATCCCTCTCGGGGTTCTGGACGTTATGTTCTTCCTTCTCTCCCAATACCTTCATACAAATGACACAACTGGACCACTTAAAGGAACCCTTGCACACATATAGAAGGCAGGAAGTTCTCCAACGTTAATCCTCATTCTCAACCCCTTGTCCATGACAAAAAGGGAATAGGAATCTCCCCCTAAATCCAGAGGACAGCTGAGGTTTCATGGCTATTTATAGAGCCATTTCATGTCACTGTCACCGGGAAGGAATGAGACAGCTGCAGCGCTTCACCAGACTCTCACGGCTGGAGAGGTAGTATGCACAGAGAAAACAGCAACACTTGATGGCAGAACAAGTACCGGACAAGCGACCAGAAACAGAATTATCCGGCTTTTGCCACAAACAGGAAAAAAATACACGAAACAAGAAGATGCACTGGCATTGTGTATTAAACACTCCTCCCCACCCTCAGGGTGCTTCTTACATTGCAATAAATAGTGCAATTGTAGCAGCGGGAAACTAGGAGCGTAGGAAGTCCCCACCTCCTTCGTGTGTTTTATCCGTGTGCACTCTTCCTAGGTAGCACCAATCTCCCCAGGTGCTGGGTGAGAGAGAGACAGAACTGGATGGGGTGGGGGGTAGGGGAGAGGTCTGAGCATGTTTGGGTGCCCTTTGGCCCCTGGAGGTTCCTGGAGAGTTCCGCAAACAGCCCTCTCACATTACTGTGGCGGACTGTTAGGACTGTTCCTGCTCTAAGACAACATCCTAGAAAGGCAGGCCTGATGGGGAGAAACGCGGTCACTGAGGACTGGCTCTTCCAGCTGAGACCCTGCTGCCTGTCCACCTCCCTTCAGCCTCTAGGGCTAAGGCTGTCCCTGAAGGCCTCACCCTACAGGACGAGGAGGAAGGAGGGGTGAACGAAGGCGCTCATGCAGAGGTGCTGCCTTTGCAGCCCCCTCCCTCCTCGTCTTCCTCAGCCTCCTGCACACGGGTGGTGTGGCCTGGACCAGCCACATGAGCTGGAGATGCCAAGTACACAGGTCCTCCCCCAGGCCACCTCCGGTTCCCCCATTCTGCACGCTCACTGGTGGCCACTAAAAACCACTCTCCAAATAACATTGCATCGGTTTATCTTGAGCCCCCACTCTGTGTGGGTCAATGACCGTGTTCCCATGAGACCTCTCAGCACTATGGCTAGGAGTTGGTCAGGAGGTTGGGGGAATGGGCTGCTTTTCCAGGAACCTGAATCGAAGGTCACTGTACCCCCAGAAACCCTAAATACTGTCTGAGCGCTCTGCAGAGGTCAGCTGGGAAACATGCAGTAAGGTCAGTGATATTCAACTAAAGGCAACATCTTGATTAGGCAGGTGTGCTCCAGGGAAGGGAACAAAAAAGGCATGAACAAGAGGAAACGGTAGAGAAGACACGGAAGAGAAGCAGGCCAAAGGGCGAGGCGGGACAGACAGGAGCAGAAGACCTGGGCCACATGCAAAACACCAAGTGGTTTCAACAGCTCAGGCCAGTGCTCCACCTGGTCAATTCATTCCAGCAAAATTAGCATGGAGCGAGGGGTAGAGGAGGAGGAGGGAGCACAGTGTTTGGTAACAAAAATAGAAAGGGTTGGGTTAGAGAAAATAGGAGATTTAAGAGATGTCATTCTAATCAGCGTGAAGTGACCAGGGCGATGGACAGCAAGACGGGAGGCACCTAGGGACCCTGTGAGGCACCATCTCTAGAGCCGTGTTTCTAACAGAGAATCCAGGGCCTGACTGCCCAGCACCCCTTTGGCCCTCACCTGCCCTACGTCTGCAGCAGCACCTCTGGCTCAGACAATGAGCAATAGAGAGTGTATCCCAATTCGTCTATTTCTTCAGGGGTGAGCTCAGCAAATAAGTTCACCTTGGGGTTTAGGGCGCTGGGCAGGACTCCGGCCTCTAGGTACCTGATGAGTCCCCTCAAGGCCTGCAGGAACCGATCGGCCAGCATGTCTGGAGACCAGTCAGCCTCCTCCTGGGCCAAGTGGAGGATGACATTCGTGAGCTGGCTGGCAGTGAGGTGGCCCAGAGCTGGAGTGGACTTGCATATGGCCTTGAGGATCTTGAGGCACAGAGATCGGCAGCCCGAGTCGGCCTGGTCCAAAGCCCACAGGCGCGCCGTCTCAGCAGGACGCAGGCTCAGCCGCCACAGGTTGTCATACTGGGCTAGCCGGTGTGGTCTGGCCACCAAGACAGTGTCACCGAGAGTCACTGATGGCAAGAAGTCAATGACAAGATGTTTGTCACGCTCATATTGCACTTCCAGAGTCAAGGCCTCTGGGGGGGGTGCCGGGCGGATCACATAGTCCAAGAGAGACCCTATGGCCGGCCAATTGATGGAGCCAGCCACTACCTTCTCGAATGTGTCTGCCACTGCCTTTGGGGAGAGGTAGCCGCCTACTACACAGCGGTCCCAGTAACTGCTGCCACGAGGAAAGTACTCTGGGTTCTCGCGGCGAACCAGGAAGAAGCCGGGGACGTTCATGATGGTGTCCTCACCAGGGATGCACGACCACAGGTTCTGCTCCAGAACGAGGGGCACGATGAGTTGGATGTGGTCGGCTGTCACCACCTGGTGAGAAGAATTAAAAAGGTTTTGAGGGATGTAATCTGCTCAAGAAGCCAGCTTCCCCAAACACAGGTCCCTCTATCTGGTATTCCCCCAACAATAAAGGAAACTAAGAATTCTTTCCTGTCGACCTTTCAGTTCAGATACAGACATAATGAGGAATTAAACCCCGGTCTGCAGACACGAACTCGTGCTCGCGTGAGCCACGTGCCACCTTGTCCTGGGGCATGAAAGTCTGCGGGACGTCCCCCACGCCTAGAGCCCCAGAAAGAGAACTAGAAAGAGAGGCAGGGACAGGAGGGAGGAAGGGGGAGGCCTCTTATGGTGTCCTAGAAGTTGTGTGACTGGAAAACAAGAAAGGGTTTTTAAAGACCAAGATAAATTTAAAAAAAATACATGAGATCTGTATCTCAAAAAAAAAAAACAAGACCCACGATAATGCTCCCTGTGTGCAGAATTCGGAAGCAGCCAGACTGCAGTCTTCCTGGCAAGCCTGGGTCACTCATCTTTTGTACCAACCGCACGACTGAGCCGCATGTGGGTCAGTCCCCGGCCCGACCCGTGTGAGCACCGCCTCGTTACCTGCAGGTCGTCATAGAGGCTGCCACTCAGGTACATGTCCCGAAGCGGCATGTCAGGCAGCTTGGCCCGCAGGAAGCCCCGGAGCTCAGCACATATGTCCACGGCAGCTTGCTTGGCCCGAGCCTGCTCAGCAGCAGGGATGGCAGCCCGGTTCCGGTAGTAAGAAAGGAGTTTCTCCTGCAGGGACATGCGGAGCCGTGACTTCTTCAAGTCCACCTGGCCCTTCCTGGCCAGTGGCTTGGGCTGGGGTGGGCAGAATGTATCTGCCAAGGCAAGAGAGAGAAGCATGTCAGCTCTTCCCAGGCTGCCTGGATCCCAGAAAGAAGGGGTTGGCACAACAGGCACAACGGTGCCTGGCACCTATGTGCTCAAGGAACGTTTGCTACACGCAGGAGCAGCCCTGAGGGCCCACAGGTAAGTCCCAGAAGGGGCAGAGGCTTTCTCACCTGTGTCAAAGGCCGAGGAGTCTGTGGGAAGGGTCTGCAGGGACCGGCTCAGGCCTGTCTTCATGTCCCTGTTCAGCAGTCGGGGGGAGCCCATCCAGTTAGGTTCTTCCCAGCTCCTTTTCCCCGAGTGGCCCAGGCGCGTGGGACTGGTAGGGGCACTGATTGCCCTGTCGTACATCTGGAACAGCAAGAGGACCCGTCCACACATGTTCCTTCCTTCCTGTTGCCCTCCTTCCCAGCAGCTTCAGTGAGCTCTAGACTAATTTTCAATACCTTCGTGTTATTCTGGGTTATACTTTCTCCATGTAGAAAATAGAAAAGTTCAGGAAACATGAAATGATATAAATAAGAAACAGATTTATCCATAATGTCACAACCCAGAGATAAATGTTAATAATTTAGTATATTTCTTTCTGGAAAAATAGATTTAGGTAATTAGGACCCTGCTCTATATATACTTTTGAAACCTGATTTTTTTTCACTTACGATTTTTATCATTTACCCATACCAGTAAAAATGAACCGGTGTTCAACATTATGGTACATTTTCTAACTATACCACACTGTACCTTATGAATGTAATGGTGAACACTGATTAATTCATTTAACAAATACTCATTGAGTGTCTACGACACTGTTCTGGGTACAAGACTAGAGCACTAACCAAAGAGACCCAGTCCAGTAGAGGGACACAGGCAAAACATAAGTTAAATACAAAGTATGCAGAAAGATTAACGTTAAAATAAGGAAGAAAAGGGAAACAGGAAGTGTATGCGTGGTGGGGGTTGCTATTTTAAATAAGGTAGTCAAGGAAGACTATTTGGGGTATTTATAACTTTTTACCCGCTGGGATAAACGTCTTTATTTGTCTCTCCAACGACTTCTTTGGGGTAGAGGCCGAGCAGCAGCCTTAACTGAACTCTAAGGTCTCATCTAATAACCAATGACCCAGTTCGACTCCATGAGCAGCGTCCAGGCCTGTGCCAGACCAGCTCTGTGCTGTGGAGGCAGCTCCCCGTCTCCCAGCCCTGGCACAGGCTGCAGGCACTTACCCGCTTAACCGCCAGCGTCGCGATGCCCAGCATGGCCGCTCCGCCCACCCCCAGCACCAGCCGGGCATTGGAGAGCACGAAATCAATGGCTGTGCCGATGCCATTGTCATCCTTCTTGCCTTTGCGCTCGCCAGCGCCTGCCATGGCTCACCTGAGGATGAAGGCAGAACAGAGCCATCGCCACCTGGGGCCTCCAACACCGCTAACTAACAGTCACTGTCAAGTCCAAAATATTTCCCCCTAATCGTTCACAACCTCGGTGGCCCTTTCTCCATCTTTCAGTCAATGAAGCTTCACTTAGGGACAAATGAGACCACTTGGCCAAATGAAATAGAGTCCCACTTAAACGCACAGAGCAAGCAAGACCAAGGAGAGAGTTGCCTTTGTATTTACAGGTGGAGGCAGGCAAGAATCCAGGCATCCTCTCTCCGGGGCCATTGAGACAGAGATGGGACGCATCACTCAGTTGAGGCAGCGGAATCCAATCAGGACCACACAGACATTGCACAGTTCCCACACTTAACCACCGTTTTGTTGTTGTTTTAAACAAGAGAACCTTTGCTAATACATTTGTCATAGGGAGAACCACTGGATGTAGGCACTCTAAGTCAAGGGTGGGGAACGTCTGGCCCGTGGGCCATGTTGGCCCTGCCAAGGCGTTAGGAGTGAGTTAATTAAATGTCTGGCGCAGGCTAATTTTTAGGTTGAAAATGTTGTATGGCCCGCGAAGGGTGTTATAAATATCCAAATGGCCCTTGGCAGAGAAAAGGCTCCCACCCTGCCCTAAGTGATCCCGGGATGAGATGCAGCAGACCAGAAGGGCGTGTCCCGCCCCCGAGCAGAAGCCAGAAGGAACCCCCCCCCAGCCCCCGGGCATTTAGTCCTTGGCCATCTGATGTGATGACTGGTGAGAGCAGGAGGGATGTGGCAGAACAGAAACAAACTTGGGTTTTCGAGTCAGAAATCCTGAGATGGAGTCCTTGCCTTTGAGCCCTGAATTATTTAACCCCTCAGCTATGAAAAGGGGAGAATGATGCCTGCGGGGCCTAAATCATAGGACTACAGTGAGGAAAAAATCTACTAAAACACTGTATGTAAACGCTCTGTAAACTGTAAAGTACTCCAAAAATTTGGGTTTATCATTAAGTCTTTTAAGATTTGCACCCACAGGACAAGGGGTCAACTTCCAGAAGGCACTCAGACTGCTCTCTGAGCGACCTCTGACTTCTGAGACAGACTCCTGCTGTCCTGGGCTTGAGATTAAAACTGTTAAGTTGAGCAGGCCGTTCCTACTCTAGTGCGATATGCTCCCCACCCAAGGGCCTGGTGGCCTGGAAGAGGAGAGAGCATCCATGGACTCCAACAGGGAGATATAGGTCCTATTTTAAGTTAACTTGTTCCAGCTGCGAGTGCTTATCCGCTCGTCCTCCACTCAGGTTCCTGTACTGGTGGGAGCCTCCTAGGAACGGGACTCACAGGCGAGGAGCGGGGCTGGCTCCTCGGTGCTACCAGAGGAGCACTGGTGCTTTAACGGGTAGAGTCTCAGTTTTGTAAGATGAAGACGTTCTGGAGATGTTACACCACAAGGGGAATATTCTTTTTTTTTTTTTTTTTTGCCATTTTTAGAATATAACATTGCTTAGATGGTTTGATACAGAACAGCTTCTCTTCTCGTTTGAACCGGAAGTACTACACAACTGAATACAGAGGAACAAAAACTACCAAAACCAAATTTGTGATTTTGTTCATGTGGCATGAACATTGTGAATGTTCTTAACGCTACTGAACTGTACACTAAAAATGGTTGTGACCTGGTGGGCAGGGCAGGGGGCGGAGAATCTGAGCACGGCCACCATTTCAGGGAAGAGAAACACTCCTCACCCCAGCAACCCGTGAGGTTAGTCATAGTATTTCCAATTTTCAGATGAAGAAACTGAGACAAAGGTGAAGTAACTGGCCCAGGGTCACCGTCAGTAAGATGTGCCGAGATCTGAACCAGACGTGCTGCAGGGAGTGGTTCACGGGGGTCGCGGGCAGCTTGCTCACATTTCCTCTGTTAACCACCAGACCACAGGCTTCTGGGGGCATTTGGCTCATTCACTGCCACTGCCCAGCGCCAGGGTTTGACACACAGTATTTGTTGCACAAATGAGCTATGAACTCTGTGGCTTTTTTTTTTCAAGGAGGGGGTGGTGGCGACCTCAAACCCAACTCAGTCAGAACAGATTAGGAGCCCAAAGACTAGTCATTGTGTGGTTCCAGACCTGCGCCCTGCCTGTGCAGCAGGCCCCTGTGGGCCCTCCGCTGCCAAAGCCGGCCTGCCAATCAACCCAGCGGCCGAGGAGAACCAGAAGCCATTACATAAGGCTCCTCCCGCTTTTCCTGTCGAAGCTGAACACAGTACCTCCCACCCAACTGGCAAGCCTTTCACCTCAGTGATCCTTCATTCTTCCTTCCCCTCCTGCTTCCGCCAGCATCACCAAGCCCCACTGCTGTACAGTCGTATGTATGTGCGGCCAGCCCACCTCCTCGGTCCCTCAATCTCAGCTGGCCATATTCGCTGCCTTTAGTATCTCCACCAACCTATTCTCCGGCCACCACTGCCACGCTCCCTCTCCCATGACATTCGCTGCTTTCAAAGCTGTGATGGTCCCCCTACTATCAGGTGTCCCAATCTCCTCAACTGGGGATTCGGTGTCCTTCCGGACCTGGCCCAGCCTCCACTCCAGCCACCTGCCTTACAGGTGCACCATTCGAGCCATGCCAGATTCAAGTTTCCAGTACAAAGTGCGGCTGCACCTCCACATTTGCTTCTTGCCCATCTACTCAGCAACCTAGTTCTCATTCGAAGCGGACCTCAAATGTCCCCTTTCCTACAGCTCCCTGTGACTCCCCTACTCCCCGACCCAAGGCAGCTACGTGCTGATCCTTGTCTCTCAGCTCTGTGCCCAACCCTCTACTCCAGAGCTGCTCATGCC